CTTCAGGATATTATTCAGGAAACCTTTCCCAACCTAGCAAGGCAGGACAATATTCAACTCCAGGTAATACAGAGAACACCACAGAGATACTCCTCAAGAAGAGCAACCCCAAGGCACATAATTGTCAGATTCACCAGGGTTGAAATGAAGGAGAAAATTCTAAGGGCAGCCAGAGAGAAAGGTCAGGTTACCCACAAAGGGAAACCTATCAGACTCACAGCAGATATTTCAGCAGAAACCCTACAAGCCAGAAGAGAGTGGGGGGCCAATATTCAACATCCTTAAAGAAAAGAACTTTCAACCCAGAATTTCATATCCAGCCAAACTAAGCTTCATAAGTGAAGGAAAAATAAAATCTTTTGTGAATAAGCAAGACTCAGAGATTTCATCACCACCAGGCCTGCTTTACAAGAGCTTCTGAAAGAAGCACTACACATAGAAAGAAACAACCAATATCAGCCATTCCAAAAATATACCAAAAGGTAAAGAGCATCGACATAATGAAGAATCTACATCAACTAATGGGCAAAACAGCCAGCTAGCATCAAATGGCAGTATTAGAATCACATATATTATTATTAATCCTAAATTTAAATAGATTAAATGCCCCAATCAAAAGTCACAGACAGGCAAATTGGATAAAAAGCCAAAACCTATTGGTATGCTGCATCCAGACCCATCTCAAATGCAAGGATACACAAACACTCAAAACCAAGGGATGGAGGAAGATTTACCAACCAAATGGAGAGCAAAATAAATAAATAAATAAATAAATAAAAAGCAGGAGTTGCAATTCTCACCTCTGATAAAATAGACTTTATAGCAACAAAGATCAAAAGAGGCAAAGAAGGACATTACATAATGGTAAAAGGATAAATGCAACCAAGAGAGCTAATGATCCTAAATATATACACACCCAATACAGAAGCACCCAGATATATGAGGCAAGTTCTTAATGACTTATAAAGAGACTTAGACTCCCACACAACAATAGTGGGAGACTTTAACATCACATTGTTAATATTAGACAGATCAACGAGACAGAAAATTAACAAGGATATCCAGGACATGAACTCAGACCTGGAACAAGTAAATTTAATAAACATTTATAGAACTCTCCACCCCAAATCCACAAAACATACATTCTTATCAGTACCACATCACACCTACCCTAAAAGTGACTATATAACTGGAAATAAATCACTCCTCAGTAATTGTATAGCATTTCACAGGTTTTGCATAGAACTTTCCACCCCAAATCCATGAAACATACATTCTTATCAGTACCACATCATACCTACTCTAAAAGTGACTACATAATTGGAAGTAAATCACTCCTCAGAAATTGCATAGCATTTCCCAACCAAATATTGGCTGGCTGCTTGTTTGTTATTTTCCTCCCTTATTCCTTCCTGTTTCCATTGTTAAGCACAATTATCGGCATAAAAGAGGTTTTCAATACTCATTTTTAGACTGTATTCTAGCCTGGGCAATAAAGCAAGACTCCTGTTCTCTCTCCCTCTTTCTCTTCCTCTTTCTTTCTTTCTCTCTTTTTTTCTTTCTCTTTCTTTTTTTCTCAAAAAAAAAAAGAAACTCAGATGAAAGAATAGTTGTTATACACTACAAAATACTTATTTTAAAATAATTAAGGACATTAGAAAGAATGAAAAAAGAAAAAAAAAGATGCAAAAAAAGAACAGACCAGAAGAATTGCAAAAGAATCAAATAGAACTTCTATAAATGAAGAAATCTATTGAAATTAAAACCTAAATGGAGCAAAGAGCCAAATAAATGAAGTAAAAATTAGATGTGAAGAAATTAGGTAGAAGGTGTGTGTGTGTGTGTGTGTGTGTGTGTGTGTGTGTGTGTGAGAGAGAGAGAGAGAGAGAGAATGAGAGATTCCAACAGTTGTGTAACAGAATTTCCAGAGAGAGATAATAGAAGAAATAGAGGCAATACTCAAAGAAATAATGGCTGATTATTTTCTAATTTCCATGAAGGAAATGAAACCTTAGGTTTGATTTCCTAATAAGACCTAAGCAGCACAAATTAAAAAAAAGAAATTAGCATCTAGACACCTAGCAACGAAACCACAAAACACCAAAACAAACTTCCTAGCTAAAAGTAACTGGGAGCAAAGTCATGTTAAATGCAAGAGAACATAGGATGTTTGACACTGTCAGACTTCCCAACAGAAGCAATAAAAGTCAGAAGACAATAAAGTAATAATAAAAATAATAGCCAACCTTATTTAAGGAATTGTTGTGTTCTAAATGCTTTACATTTATTATCTCATTTAATTTTTACAGTAACATATAAGATATTATTCTTATGTTTCCAACAAGAAAACTGAGGCACAGAGACTTTGAGTTATTTGCTAAGGTTGGGTATCTCCTAACTGGCAAAGTCAGGATGGGATCCCAGGGATTCTGAGCATGGAGCCTGTGTTTACAACTGTTATGCCAAACAAGACCATTTTCAAATATCTGAGAGAAATTATTATCAATCTAGAATTCTAGAGCCAGCTAGCAATCATTGAAGAGTGAGTGCAAAATAAATGGAAAGTAGTAGACCCTCAATGAAAAAGATTACTAAAAATAAAACAAAATAAAACACAGACTATATAAAATAAAATAAAATGAAATAAAATAAAACAATGAAGACCAGTTATGGGCAATAAATGAGATCAAATGCAATGCAGGACACAATGCCATGTGACCTGGGAAAGGGTGACTGGAGTCCACATTGTGATGTTTTTGCATTGCACAGGAGGCTGAGAGAGATTGGACTAACTATGGATTTTGTAAGTCACGTATGCCTAGTCTAATTTTTTTTTTTTTTTTGAGACAGAGTCTCGCTGTGTCACCAGGCACCAGGCTGGAGTGCAGTGGCGATCTCGGCTCACTGCAACCTCTGCGTCCCAGGTTCAAGCAATTCTCCTGCCTCAGCCTCCTGGGTAGCTGGGACTACAAGCACACGCCACCACGCCCAGCTAATTTTTTTTGTATTTTTAGTAGAGATAGGGTTTCACCATGTTGGCCAGGATGGTCTCGATCTCTTGACCTCGTGATCCGCCCGCCTCAGCCTCCCAAAGTGCTGGGATTACAGACTTGAGCCACCGTGCCTGGCCTGCCTGGTCTAATTTTTAAAGAAAACTAGCAAAAGGATAGAAAGAAAATAATTTCCAAACTAATCTAGGGAAAAATGGGAATGGAGGAAAGTTGATTTATCTAATAATTATTTTGGTATAAGTATTCAGAGTTGTATTGATTTTCTTTTCCTGGGATTTTATTTTTGGGTGTGAATTTACATGTGACCTTCATGTTGAGAGGAAGGACGCCAACCTTCATTGAGTGCCTAGTCTATGCCTGGTGTTTTGCATATGTTATTGGAGTCAATCTTCACAGTAAGCCTGTAAGGGAATTAGTATTATTCCCTGTTTACAGATAAATAAACTACTCAGAGAGTTTATATAACTTGCTCACAATCATACAGCTTTTGTGAGCCAGAAAATTACTTCAAAGTCAAGTGTCTGACTCAAAGTCTAGGATATTTCTCCACTTTACTGGAATTTCCAAACCAATGAGGAGCAGAGAGCTCTGAAAAGCAGCTCTGAAATCTCAGTGTGCCCTCAACCAAGGGAGTATCCTGGATAAAGAATCGCTGTGCTCTATTCTTGTGCAAATGTGGAAAGGCCCTTGTGAAATAGAAGGTGTAAATTCTTTTAAAATCTAGGTGGTCTTTTGCCAGTGTTTATCTTCTCAGGCAGCAGATGTTACTATGTGAAGGGATCCAGGACCTCTTTTTTTAATGTAAAGAGAAAAAAAGCAGGCAGTCTTTTTACTAATACGTAAGAATCTCCGAACTTGGCTTTTCACCCAAGACCCACAAAAACCCCAGTGCACTTGTACCATAAGGGCTGCTTTCCACACGGCTCTGGCTCCGCTGTCAGAAGGGCATGTCTCTACTTCTGCTGCCTTCCTGAGAGGTGCCAGATGCTCTATGTGATATGGCTTGGATTTGTGTCCCCAACCAAATCTCGTGTTCAGTTGTAATCTCCAATGTTGGAGGTGGGTCCTGGTGGGAGGTGATTGGATCATGGGGGGGTTTTGAAACTGTCTTTGGAAAATTATAACTGAGGAAATTGTGACGGTGAAAGAGATCAGACCTAACTGACTCTACTTTGCTTCTAACTCTTAAGCTGTGCTTGTGCATTCCTGGGCATAGGCTGAACTAACTTTGGGGTGGAATTCAGTTAATGGTTTGATTCTGAAACAAAATTGGTAATGTCCCTTTTCCAAAAAGACCCTCTTTTTGTCTACCAGTCTGCCTTTGCAGGACTAACATATTAGCTGCAAGATTAGAAATTACAATTTAAGAGTTATGCAGCCTCTGGCTCTAAGAGTCTGGACCTCCCCAAACTACTCCTGGGGATAACACCACTATTGGAAAACGTAAGATCAGTGCTTGAGATATTTTGCAGACCCTGCACTCGATGGATCAGCTGACACCACCCAGACCTGTAATCTGGCCCAACCAGATCTGCCATCGCACCCAGGAAAAGAAGACATCAAGAAAGCCTAACTTTGATCCGCTGTGAATCCATCTCCAGCCTGAGCAATCAAATCCGCACTCCCGGCTTCCCAAGCCCCTACCTGACAAATTATCTTTAAAAACTCTGATTCCTGAATGCTCAGGGAGGCTGATTTAAGTAGTAATAAAACTCTGGTCTCCTGCACAGCTGGCTCTGAGTGAATTACTCTTTCACCACTGCAGCCGGCTCCGAGTTACTCTGCCCCGTCTTGATAAATTGGCTCTGTCTAGGCAGCGGGCAAGGTGACCCCATTGGGCAGTTACAATTTTCTCATGAATGGTTTAGTGCCATCGCCCTTGGTTGTGACAGTGGTGAGTTCTTGTAAGACCTGGTTATTCACAAGTGTGTGGTAGCTCCTCCTTCTCTCTCTTCCCCCTGCTCTGGTCATGTAAAATGTGTGCCTGCTTCTTGCTCTCCTTCTGCTGTGACTGAAAGTTTCCTGAGGCGTCCCTAGAAGCTGTCAAGCTTCCTGTACAGACAGGGAGCTGTGAGTCAATTAAGCCTCTTTTCTTTATAAATTACCCAGTCTTGGTATTTATTTATACCAACGTGAGAATGGACTAGAAATCTGCCCTTTTCCCTTTTAACCCTATATGCCGTGACTGATCTTAAGATTTGAGTTAGCGATGAAGGATCAAAATACATCTCTACCTATGGCTTCACATCTTCTGCTCTGGATTTCAGCCTATCCTCTACTCATTCATTCATTCATTCATTCATCCAGCACTGTCTAAGGGCCACTGTGTGCCAGGCCTGTTTCTCAGTGAACCTGCACATAACCCTTAGGTCCAAGGCTGTCAGAGGGGCTTGCCCAAGGTTATGAACTTGCTAACAGAAGAGAATTGTCTTTCGATTCATTTTATAGGGCTCCTTCCACTTTACAAGTATTCATTTTATTATCTCCTCTCTGTTCTTGACAAATCTACATGTTGTCTCAGTAGATATGGTGCAATACTTCCTGCACTTTGTCAAGGGAGGAGTGCAGTTTGCTTTTCTGTAACTCTTTTTTTTTTCCCTGGAAACATTTGACCTGCTGTGTGTCTGGCTAAGCACTGCCATGGATGTCAGTCCTGGGACCAAGCAGGTGGGATTCCCAGACATTGCCAAGGGGAAGGACAGCTCAAGCTGGTTTCTTGGCCTGGCAGGACCCTAGCTGTGGGGACACTGGTGAGAGTACAGGCTCTGGAACTGGCTCTTGGGGGATCTGGAAGGACAGCAGGCTCAGCAGAGGGCGGCCTGAAGGCCTATGTCCTAGGGAAGCAGGTTGGATGAATGGATTTGAATCAGAACAGAGCCGTGTAGCTTGAAGGCTGTCCAGGAAGTGAGACAATCTGAGCAGAAATGGGCTCTGCGTGGCCTAGTTTTGCCAGTGCAGTCTGAGCTGCTGCCTGCTGCCTCTACGTCCTGCCTCACTGAGTGTCTGTGCTTTCTTTAACATGGAGTTGATTTTTTTTTTTTTTTTTTTTTTTTTTTGAGACGGAGTTTCACTCTTGTTACCCAGGCTGGAGTGCAATGGTGCCATCTCGGCTCACCGCGACCTCCGCCTCCCGGGTTCAGGCAATTCTCCTGCCTCAGCCTCCTGAGTAGCTGGGATTACAGGCACGTGCCACCATGCCCAGCTAATGTTTTGTATTTTTAGTAGAGACGGGGTTTCACCATGTTGACCAGGATGGTCTCGATCTCTTGACCTCGTGATCCACCCGCCTCGGCCTCCCAAAGTGCTGGGATTACAGGCTTGAGCCACCGCGCCCGGCCTGGAGTTGATTTTGAAAGCTGACTTAGCAATAAGCTGTTCCTTTTTTTACTGATGCTTTTTAAATGATGACATAAATGCAAGGTGGGCAGGTGGGGCTAGGGACAGTTACCTACCTCTTAGGAGGAGGTGGGGGAGGTATTTGATGCTGCTGCCCCTGCTGGACACTTAGTATCCCGGCCAGGGGGACAAGGTCTAGGCCGAGAGCTGTGAACAGATGCCTACACCACCAGCAGGTGGGAGTCCCTGGAAAAGTGTGTGAATGACATCTATTGGAAATGCCTGTGGGTAGACGTGGGGCAGTCCTGCGAGGGGCCCGTAGAGAGCAGTCGGGATGTTCTGGCTACGCTGGTTTTGTCATTTATTATAGGGCGTTGGCAATGCAGGTGGTAACCTTTGATCTTAGTAAAGCCAAACTTAAAGGGCAAATTCTCCATCTGTAGGTAACTTTGTAGCTAATCACAGGGCAGCTCAAGAGTGTTCAGAAACGAGATGGTCTATCACATGGGTGTGCTAGCAGAATAAGGGCCCTGCAAATATCCACGTCTTCATCCTTGGAAACTGTGACTGTGTTAGGTCACATGGAAAGGGAGATTGAAACTGCAGATGACAATCGGTTTGGTAATCAATTAACATTAAATTAGGGAGGTGATCTTGGATTATCCAGGTAGGCCAATTAGAATCATGAGGGTCCTTAAAGGTGGAAGAGGGAGGCAGAAGGACCAGAGAGGGTGACAGTGTAGGGAGGACTCAAATGGCTGTTGCTGGCTTTGAAGATGGAGGAGCATAAGGTGGCCTCCAGAAGCCAGAAATGGCAAGAAAACGAATTCTCCCGGAGAGCATCCAGAAAGGAAGGTCGCCCTGCTGCTGTCTTGATTTTAGCAGAACCTGACCATGCTAGCACCATGATCTCAGACTTCCAGCCTCCAGAACTGTGAGGAATAAATTTCTGTTTTTACAAGGCACCCAGTCTACGGTACTTTCTTATAGTAGCACAAATCAATAATCTAAGCTTCCACCTTAAGAAACTAAACAAATAAATTAAGCCAAAAACAAATAGAAAATATCAACTATTCTAAAGTTTATTCGGAAAGGCAAAGGAACTCTAATAGCCAAAACAATTGGCTCACACCTGTAATCCCAGCACTTTGGGAGGCAGAGAAGGGTGGATTACATGAATCCAGGAGTTCGAGACCAGCCTGACAAATATGGTGAAACCTTGTCTCTACAAAAAATACAAAACTTAGCTGGGCACAGTGACGTGTGCCTGTAGTCCCAGCTAAGCCTGGAAGGTCGAGGCTGTAGTGAGTTGAGATCATGCCACTGTACTCCAGTCTGGGTGACAGAGTGAGACCCTGTGTCAGAAAAAAAAAAAAAAAAAAAAAAAAAAAAGAATAGGAAGAGCCACTCTATCCAATTTCAAGATTTATTTTATAGCTATAGTAATCAAGATAGTATGTTATTAGGAGAGGAGTAGACACATAGATCAATGGGAACAGAATAGATAACCCAGAAATAGACCCACACAAGTATGGCCTATTGATATTTTTTAACTTTTAAGTTCAGAGGTACAAGTGCAGGTTTGTTATCTAAGTACACTTGTGTTATGGAGTTTTGTTGTATGGATTATATTGTCACCCAGGTATTAAGCCTAGTGCTGATCAGTTGTTTTTCCTGATCTCCTTCTCCCAACCTCCACTCTCTAAAAGGCCCCTCTATGTGTCCATGCGTTCTCATCATTTAGCTCCCACTTATAAGTGAGAACATGCAGTATCTGGTTTTCTGCCCCTGTGTTAGTTTGCTAAGAATAATGGCCTCCAGCTCTATCCATGTTCCCGCAAACATGATGTCATTCTTTTTTACGGCTGCATAGTATCCCATGGCGTATATGTACAAGAAAATGTGGCACATATGCACCATGGCTTATTGATTTTTGACAAAGGTGCACAAGTAATTCAATGAATGAAAGATTGTCATTTAGGTAAACAGTTTAGTTAAGTAATTGGACATCCATAGGCATAAAAGTAAGGCTTGGTTTAAGACTCACACTTTATTTAAAAATTAACTCAAAATGGATTGTGGCTTTAAATGTAAAATTTAAAACTATAAAACATTTAGAAAGAAACACAGGAGAAAATCTTTGAAATCCAGAGCTAGGCAGAGTATTCTTGGACTTGACACCAAAGGTAGAATCCATAAATGGAAATATTGATAAATTGGACTTCGTCCAAATTAAAAACTTTTCCTCAGTGAAAGACCCTATTAAGAGGATGAAAAGAGATGCTACACACAGGGAGATAATATTTTAAAGCCACATATCTGCCAAATAACTGGTGTACATAAAGTTAAAATCCTAGTATGTTATTTATGTGTACATACATACACATATTTATATAAAGAACTTTCAAAACACAACAGTAACAATATAAGCAACGAATTAGAGCTGGACCAATGACATAAAGAGACATTTCATGAAGTGGACATACAGATGGTAATAAACACATGAAAAGGTGCCCATTACCTTTCTGGAAATTCACAGTGGGCTATCACAACACGCCTATCACAATGGCCAAAATAAAACACTACCACCAAATGCCTACAATGACATGGGGACAAGGGGTCACTCATGTGTTACTGTCAGAATGTATAAAATGATGCAGACACTCTGGAAAACAGTTATAAGAATTAATCCCTCGTATAGAAATATCATTTATTCAAAATCAGTTTATGATTTGTTTTTTTGAGACAAGAGTCTCGTGCTGTTGCTCAGGCTGGAGTGCACAGGTGCAATCACGGCCCACTGTAGCCTTGACCTCCTGGGCTCAAGCGATCCTCCCACCTCAGCCCCCTGAGTAGATGGGACCATGGGCATGAGCACTACACAGTTAATTTTTTTGATTATTTTCCCCTGTAGAGATAAGGTCTTACTATATTGCCCAGGCTGGTCTCAAACTCCTGGGTTCAAGTGATCCTCCTGCTTTGGCCTCCCAAAGTGTTGGGATAACAGGCATGAGCTGGCACGCCTGGCCCAAATTCAATTCAGTTGAACACATTTTTGTAATCTTAAAATGTGTAAGAGCCATGTTAGTTTAAGACCAGGGAAAATTAATATAGGAGATTAAAAAGTTCAGATTAAGCTTTCTATGAGGTAGTAAATCAAATGTACATAAATTAGACTATTATACTACTATTATTTTTATACTATTATTAAATCGAAGAACAGGCAGATTATCAAAGTGGCCTAATTTTTTTTTGAGATAGAGTCTTGTTGTATTGCCCAGGCTGGAGTACAGTGGTGTGATTACTACTCACTGCAGCCTTGCACTCCTGTGCTTGACAGATTCTCCTATCCCAGCATCCTGAGTAGCTGCGACTACAGGCAAATGCC